CACGTGAAATTAGAACTCCAAAACGATGCAAAAGTAATCTTATAACCCGTATACAACTTTTTGAATCATTTAGATTTAATTTATGCATTTTTTTCGTACCTAAATGGTCAGACGGTCATACGGTCATACGGTCATACCTTGGTCAGACGGTCAGACTTGTTCAAAATTGCATAATTCATCGTTTTAAAAGTGTTAATATTGTAATAATCATATCATATCACAAATATTTCAAGTTCAAATCGGTCGTAGCAATATGGATTGAGTACATTTTTTGTTTGTCAATGTAACTCCTTCCAAAGAAGGCCTAAAGTAATAGTAATGTTTGTGTAACACATTGAGTACAATTGACTTATGTCGAGAGATTTTTTTTTTCACGTGAAATTAGAACTCCAAAACGATGCAAAAGTAATCTTATAACCCCTATACAACTCTTTGAATCATTTAGATTTAATTTAGGCATTTTTTTTCGTACCAAAATGGTCAGACGGTCATACCTTGGTCAGACGGTAATACTTGTTCGAAATCGCATAATCCATCGTTTTAAAAGTGTTAACAAAGTAATAATAATATCATATCACAAATTTTATGAGTATGGTCAGTTTGACCAATTTGATGATTATGATCAGTATTACCAATTTTGCGAATATGAACAGTTTGACCAATTTGACAAGTATGACCAGTTTAGGAGTATGACCAGTTGACCATTTCGACACGTATGTATGACCAGTTTACTGAATTTTTCCATTTTGACGAATTTCACAAATTTAACGATTTCGACCAGTTTGAGTCACGTGAATCATGGTATTGCTGATAAATATGTCATATTTGTTTCATCTGTATCATATGAATTAAATATAAAGATGACAAAAACAAATCACAAATGCCCACACTTAATAATGAATGTTAGAAAAATACTTATCGATTATTCATATATGTGTTTAATCGATGAATTGTCTCAAGCTTTTGCTTGTTTTTCACAATAAATTAGCTGAAAAAAAGACTGTAGATGAAGAGAGTTTAGAGACACAGAACGTTTGAGAGGAGAGAGAGAGTTTGCAGGTTCGACATATGCGAACGGAGGAAGAGAGAGAGAGCTGGGAGAGGAGAGAGAGAGCTGAAATATTTTCATTTTAAATTTAATAATGATTAAAAAGGTAAGGGTATTTTTGGAAAGATACAATTATAAGGTTAGAAGATGATGATGTTTTTTTTTTAAAAAAGACAGGGTCATACCGTGAAGTAAAAATGACATTTAAAGTCATTTTTGCAATTCCCCCTATAGAAAATTATATAGAATTGGAAATGTCTAATTTACCCTCTCCACTCGGTTAATTAGACGATTCGACGTGAATAAAAATTATCAGGCCTTTTATATGAGTCGAATTATGAAATCATAATCTAATTTGTATATGTTTCATTACGAAAATGGTCAGTAAATATGGCAGTGGCCCATAAATCATATTAGTTCAATAAAAAACCTCGACTTAGATCGCTCGCAAGTTTTCTAATCGGAACGATCCAACTCGTTGAGTTAGAGATATATAATATTTTTTATTTATATTTATTTTAAATTTAACTATAAATTTAAATAAATATATAAAAAATTAATAAAACTCTTATATCATAAACTACATAAAAAGGTATTGGTTGAGATCTTAAAAGATAAAAAATAGTCTAATAATAATTCAATAAAAAAATAATTTAAATAGATAATAACAACAAAATATATTTCAAACACATTTTCATATTTATACTCTAATTTTTATTTAATATTTTAAACTATCACCACCATAATAATTAAGATATTTAATATCATATGAATGATATGAGAAAAAAAAGAAATATAAAATTATATTAGAATTTTTTATATAATTTTAAAAAAAAAGTCAGCTCGTTGAGCATCTCGTTAACTCGTCGAGTTGGTTCTCATAGTCAGTGTTCAATGAACCTGACTCGTTAGACTCGTTTTTTGATAAGCTGAACCGGCTCCCCAGCCGGGTTTGTTTTGACATCCCTAATCATATATGTTTGCATGTAAATAACACGTACACCGGTTCCGAGTTTAGGATGGATGTAATAAGAGCGAATGTCCGGAGAACCATCATGGTTATAAATAAAAAATAAAAAAAAAGTAAGACATGCGAAATCAATAAAAAATTCTATGAATTATAATTATCGACGCATATTTTTGTATGACATATATATATATATATATATATATGTATATACAGTATAACGTTTGGTTGTCTTTTAAATTTTATAAGCGAAGATAAACTTTCAATCATATACATATATATAGAGAGAGAGAGAGAATTTTTCAATACAATTACTTGACAACAAATTGTGTAGTATTTGATAATTTTAAATAAAGAAGATGAAATTCGGCTGGGATATACATTTTACAATAAGAATCATATCCATATTATTCTTTATATCAAATTTAAATATTTTAAAACTAAAATCCTGTCGATGCATCGTAAAAACTATAAAAATTCTTAAACTTGTAAAATGATGAAAAATAAATTTTGAATAGTTTGATAATTATAATAACATATTTTGAAAGTTTGAGAATAAATTTTTTAAACAAAAAATTTAAAAATCTATTTTTCACCATTTTTAAACTTCAGATTTTTTATGAATTTTATCCTACAAATACATATTTCAGTTATATTATTAAATAAAAATAAATAGCATAGGCGCACAGATATTAAAACGCGTGTGTATATGGTGTACGTGAAAAAGATTCCAGAGGATAAAAACCCACACACGTTTGGCGTTTTTATGCGGCCATTTAAAAGAAATGGTAACGCCGTCTCTACGAAGCATTTTTCATCAAACCTTCAAACCCAGCAAAAAAAAAAAAAAAAAAAAAAAAAAACTCCCAAATCCTCCGATCAAATCTCCACCGTCCGATGGAGAGCACAGATTCCTCCGGCGGTCCTCCTCCTCCGCAACAGCCGAATCTTCCGCCGGGATTTCGATTTCACCCGACGGACGAAGAGCTCGTCGTTCACTACCTCAAACGCAAAGCCGCCTCCGCTCCTTTGCCCGTCGCCATAATCGCGGACGTCGATCTCTACAAATTCGATCCATGGGAACTCCCCGGTATGTCAGTACACATACATCTAAGTTTGACTTTCACTGGTAAAGATCTTTCGTGAAAACGCTGTCGTATGCATGATCTTGAGTGTATGCATCGACGACGAGCGTACTATACGGTATCCGATGTAGTATGCGATATGTGATAAAGTTTGAATTTTGAAATATGGGTTTTGCAGCTAAGGCGTGGTTTGGGGAGC